CATGGGTGGGTAAATACGTTTTCTGTAAAAAACTGTGTGCTGACCAGAGGGTTTGTAGTCATTCATACTCCAACAGTTTTGAGGTCTACTGTATATTACGATTGAGACATGACGCAACAATTCAACAAAAAAAATTGTTAAAGATTCTCGCAATCTTTATCCAATCAGCGTTTGCGATGTGTACCGGCTCACGTATAAAAGGCGAATCCAACTCAAATCCATGCAGGGGTGTATGAGGTACTCGAATAGAAAAGAGCTCGTGAAGTCTGAATTTATATGCACATGGTCGATGTTTACACATGTTTGGAGTTATTGAAGAAAATGTGATATGGGTGTGGTTCCGAATTTGAAGTCATTGCTGGAAAATATGATTTTAATACCGACGTGAAATTATATCGATAAATACAGCACTAAAAATAACAGTACACATTCATGTATGATTGTGTCCAGAAATGTTTGAAACCCTTACGGAAATTCTGTCTGCATTTTTTCACCATTGCTCTTTCTTCCCGCATTCTAGTGCTGTTTGAATGAATATATTAATTTATGTATTTCTAACTAAAATATATCACATTTTTTTATAAACCAGAAACATTTAGATCATAAAAAAATCTTCAATACTTGAGTGAGCACGATATGCAAGGGTTACTAAGTTGACACAGTAAATGACCACTGATATTGTGTTAGTCAATGCACACAGCGTATTCTGCTAAGGCCATGAGAAGTAGATTCTTTGTTTTGCGTCCTGGCATAATCCAAATCATGCAAGGGAACAAGGAAAACAAACACAAACTCAAGAAAAAACACAAACTTGTTTGCTGGGAAATGTATACATTTTATGGGCATAAAAAGGGATCATATACAAATTTGCAGTGATTACAAACACATATCTATACCTTTTATACAATATATGTAAAGATAGATATTATTCATGGGGTAAAAATGAGAAAATACACAATGTATGCTAAAGTAATCAATATCACTGTCAATTTTGACGCACATCAAATCTTCCATTTCGTCTGATTCTGATTGAATGAAATGCGATGGTACTTTCAGACCCTTGTGATTGCTAGCTACTGTATTTGGATGTGTTTGTTTTTTCTGATTTACTCAAAATCTTACAAGCAAGGGGACGCAAAACAAAGAATCTACTTCTTATGTATTAAATACACATTTGCTAACACCCCCAACTTTCATAGTGAAGTGACTAATTGGTTTATGTTTACGTTTTAATGTGTTTTGGGTTCCTTGTTACAGCAAGGGGAGCCAGTAAAGTAGACTAACATGTTTGCATGGCAAATTTTGATCGAATATGTGAGACACTTTAAATACTCTATGTGTTCATCATAAAGCCATCGTAGCAAGTAAAGCTGCCAACAAAATGACGGTATTAAGCAGGCTAATGCATATGAGTTTTCTCAGTGTCATTACCCGTCCTGTATTTTTGCATGGTATGTGGTCCTGGGTCAAAAAATGTAGAAAAGGAACAGAAATCTGACGAATGTGTGCAGAACATTAAAAGAAATTTTTATTCTGGCTAAAACAGTCCTCAAAACAATAATATGTACTGGATAATGCATAAGAATGAGATTTTATAAGAAATAATACACCGAAGGCCTGATGTTATTATTTCTTATCAAATCGAATTCGAATGCTTTATCTTACTTAAATCACACAGACTCTTATAAGAGGTAAATGGTCTATTAAAGGTTAAAGGTCTTATGATATAATCTGGAAAATGTTATTTCTTTTGTATTGACTATTCAAACTGTGAAGTATATGCAAACTTCAACCAGGCTCACAGTGACCCTGGCTCTTATTGGTTGAAATTTGTTAGTATATAGCCGATTAATTGTAACAACAAAAGGAGTTGGTTGCATTGACCTCAGGAGTGTGAGTCGACAACGCACTGATGTAGAAATAATTTCTCAAAGACGCTTATATACCCTATATTGAGATTCCTGAATAAATAACAGAAAATGCGTAACATAATGTTAATATTCTGATCATTTAATTTTAGAATAGATCATATTTGTATAGCATTTGCTTCCCATGTACAGCACATAAAATACAGAACGAAAATATTAACCTCTTGTTCTTTTGATGCAGAATGAGCTCTTCAAATAGAAGAAGAATTCGTAGTTGCATACCTGTCAGTAGTTTAAAAATTAATCGGGAAAAATGTGTTGCAAATTGAATTCAATACAAAATTTACGATAAAAACAAGTAAAAAATAAATCGGGACAAAATCGGATCGGGACAGGCCAAAAAAAATCGGGACAATCCCGATTAAAATCGGGACTTGACAGGTATGCATACATTACGTACGTACACAATACCCTTACATACAGTTACACACTTTCCAATCATTGAACACCCCAAACCAGAACTATTCACCTTTCCACAAAGTAAAGAAAATCGATAATTTCCGGCGCGCTGATTGGTTGTATGCAAATGAGTCAAATCAATGACGTCAATGACTGAAAGTTTTGAAGAATTAGTACAGCCAGCATAGGAATATTTTGAATAAACTACAATAAAAGGGATTCTATTTGCCCAAGGCACTAATTGTTTTTAATCAAATATGAAATATGGACGGGGCACTTTCATTCTAAACCTTATGTCATTTAAATTAATCATTTTTTGACCGCACTATTGTTTATTAAAACTTCTGAGATCAGCTTCACATACCCGGGCTCACATATCTCGTGCGATTGTAAACAAAAAATGTAAATGGTGAAGTTACAAACAACTCGGTTAATTATCTGATAGTGGTCATACAATATCCTGTTAAATGGTTATATGTCGTGGTAAGAAGTTCCATCAGAAATTCACCATAAGTAACATTCGCGCAAACGAAACCAATCGGACGATTTTTTTGACATTTTGTTATTGAGGATCGATCCCATCTCCATAATACACATTAACAAAATATTTTCAAAAGCATGAATATGTTATGGTAACTAAAACCATGGGCTTTCAAGATCACGAAAGCCCATGACTAAACTAACTTTCTTTTATTTGGAACTTTTTCCAGTTGCCATTTCAGTAAAACGTACAACGGGTTTCTCGCTAAACGCAACTGGGCCTAATTAAATAACCTTCACTTCATCCCCCAAACTTGGATAACGCCCATTGGCTATTAAAAAGATAACTTCGAAATTTTCTATCCAAAAAGCTAGACTTAAACCATTACTTTATTAATTACCAAATGAAAGTTCATAGTACGTATACGATATCGTTACCTTTTGGTATTTATTCGCCATCAGCGATGTCAATAACGATCAGCAATGTCAACATATCATAAATAAATATTATATGATATACGCTACGATATTTCTTTGAAATCTTTCCCGTGATCATTATTCAAAACCGATCACCACATAACTAATTTATCCCATGACAAGTGAGGTTTCACAAGTGAAGTTTTCAGGACACCCTGCATATTCAGGTTTGTTTTCTAAGCGTTCTCATTATTTTCAAAATGTAAAGAACAAACTCTACTCAATGAAGTTAATTGAAACTTTTTATCTTCAACCCTATGCATCGCAATAAGCCATTTGTTTTTCATACTTCCTGGCACTTTAATATATGTGACAAATTTCTCATCAACCTTCGCTTTCCCATAGGACGTGCACATCGGTACAATGCAATTTATTCCCGATTTATTTTGTTTGGGATAGTTGTTCTCATCTTTATTCAAATGATATCGATGGTATCCTGCTGGATCCTAAATAAAAGAAAAGTTCATGTTATGCAATTGCATACATTTATCTTTGCTGTATGTACAGTATTTGTAATTCTGATTTTAAATACCATTTTTGTGAGTCTTGGATTATTAATGCGAACTATTTATCTCGTACCATATGATATACGATCTTCACACAAAGCATGGTATATAAGTTTTATATCGCACGATGCTCATATTTCCCGGTGAATACATCTGTGAGACTAGTATGCAATATGGTATTTGAAAAACACCGTCCAGTATAATGTTGTGAATGACATATTTACCTTGGAAATTCCTTCACAAATCTTTTTATATATGGGGATTTAATATTAATTTTATTTCCTCGGAAAAATAGCTTACCGTTGAGCCTTGGAATATATCCAATACAATAACTTCTCTCAGTAAAGAATTAGCTCTCAATCTGATTTGACAGAGATGACCAGGTGAATATGATATTTGTAATGGATATTAGCAATCGTTATTATGAACTTGTATTGTAATTAGGGTAACTATACAAATCAATAATCAAAGTACATGAGAGTGCCCCCTCCGGAACATATACAACACAGGTACACTAACCGAGACGGATAACTAATGTTAATGTCTGCTGTACATTTCCATTCAATGTTGTCAACAGATCAATGACCGGCAATGAATCTCTTGTCAATTAGACAATTACTGACCTTGATTCAATAATACTATTACTAAAAGGGCATAAACATATGTGAATGTGATGTATAATATCAAATCGATGATTATTTTATGATAACTTAACATTTTGAAGCAGATAAATTGACTGCAAGTACCCAGAGATTTACATGTAACTCAACCGGATTTGTGCTTTCGCGGGAAAAGTTTCCATCATTGACGTCATAGATTTTTAAGCGGCTCATTATAATATTCATGAGCTGACTTTGTGGAAAGGTGAATATGCGCGCCAAAATGGCGTCGTCCACTCTTTTCTCCATCCATTTTTTACTTCAACCATCTCCCCTCTTTTTAAATGAAATTTTTATTTAAAAATTTTTATTTATTTTTTTGTTAGGTAGGCCGCTGATGAGGTTTAGCAACCGAAACGCCTGTAAGATCTCCCCCGGATCCTTGCGTCCGGCCATGCCTGTCCATATACCAATGGCATTTGCATCGTCAAATGTTTCCCACTGTTATCTAGCAGTAGCCGGGATCTCTGAAAATGCACTACACATATTCAGATATTAGGCAACTCTCGGTTATGGGAAGGATGTCATAAGCACCGCGATGGTTAGATGTTTTAAACATCTCCCATCCATATTATTATAATCTGTGTCTGTACAGTCTGTGACGTCTGTGCCAACTGTATCCAGTGTGTGGTATACTGTACGCCCGGTATTATTCGCGAGACTTAATTTCGCGAATTTTGCGAAAACACGATTTCGCGGCTATTAAATTTCACAAGTTTGAAATTCATTACTATTCCAGGAATTCTCGAGCTACTCGTGTGTAAATTAAGTTAGATGTACAGTAATTGCACTTACCTGATGTCATATTTGGATGAGATTTACAATAACTGGGATCTTTATCATCGGCAAGCTGCATATCAACCTCTATTGCATCGTCATTTTTAATATTAAAGCAAAAGTGCGTGGCTCCCATAATAACTTTACCGTACTTCATACTGTATTTTATCGTATTCGGGGATTCCCCAGTATATGATGTCCAATCAAATTGCAGGCTACGATCACGTATATTTATATGTTCCACGCTTGTACTTCATGTTATTTTTAGCAATTTGAACTTCAGTTTCTATAATATCGTCGATGTCATTATTAAGCCTATGCCCATTGGTAGTAGTTGGCCTGACTAGGGTCAATACAACCCACGTGGGATTAGTTTTGGTCATGGTATAGGAAAAGTAGTACTTAAAACACTAGTTTGCTACTTTGTAGATGTATGGCACGTATATGTGTACAGTACATGTATTGACAATTAATGTTTGGTAATAGCTAGTAGGAGTGTCAGGGACCGCTGACAGATTATAATTTTGAACCAAAAAATTGAATTATATTTTTGGCGGTCTCAGTAAATCAATGGGGTAATCAGGTCCTACGTGCTTTTTACAGGCCGAGAAATCAATGCTCGCTTATAAATGTAGCAAAATCTTTTTTCGTTCCTGGGATATTTTTTTCACCATATAACCGAACGGGAAGTTTTTGAATAGGACTACATGATCTGAATGGATGCGAGGATTCGATGGGCTGGGATTTGAGAAATTATGATTTGAACTTTGCCAATTTTACATGTATTCCAATGGGTGAAAAAGTAAGTTGCTTTCTACCTAATATCAACCACATTTATTAGTGAATTTCGAGAAATATGTCGAATTTAGCCATATTTCGCATATCTTTATGTGAAACCATTTAAAGTTTTGCAAATTAACCCCTAAAATTCTGGAGACGACGATCTAAATTTTGCTGAGTCAGCAATTTTTGTTTTTTCATCGAAAACAGTACTTTTCAGCCTAAATTGCTACATTTCTGCTCTTTTATCAAGTAATTTGATGCAGTTCTTGCCAAATTAAAGGAAACATACCCCAAACGTTCCAAAGTGTGCGAAGTTCCAACATTTTGACCCTTTAAACCCACAAAAGAACCAATTTTAAAGGGACGTATTCAGTAAACCTGCACAAAAGACAATGCTACTTGAACTTGCCATCAGAACTTCGTGAAAAACGAAAAATCAATGATGTTCAGTTTAGTAAAGTAGCAAATAGTCATACTCATGAGAGAATATAAATCACTTGTGCATTTTGTACAACTTTACAGCTGTTTTAAGTAGATTAGTATCGTTATAGGCAAAAATCCCCCAAAATAGCCCAAAATTTGTCCAAAAAATCAAATTTTTCATGCTCAAGGCTGAATTATTTTGCCTATTTTGCTACATTTATCAGTGCAGTGACAAGAAGTCTTGTGGATAGCGCAACTTTTCCTGAACGTTTCTCTAATAAGATATTTTAATGACAAAATAACTACATTTAGTCTGGAATAAATTGTCACAAAATACAATTGAGCCCAGGGGTCAAGAGAACCCTATAAAATCATAAGTGCTGAGGGGATTTGAGCAAAAATGTACATATCACTTCATAAAACCCCGAACTTTAAAATTCATATTGAACAAAATGCATATTCAGTCAACCATGACACTAATAGGGTCAATACAACCCACGTGGGATTTGTTTTGGTCATGGTATAGGAAAAGTAGTACTTAAAACACTAGTTTGCTACTTTGTAGATGTATGGCACGTATATGTGTACATGTATTGACAGTTAACAGTAGAGACGATGGGCTCGATTGCCATATCATACTGCATTTGAACGGTGATACGGCAATTGCCGTATAGAACGTCATTATTTGTAATAACGGTTATCTTTTAAAAATCTTAACAATTCCGGATTTCAAATTCGAATTAAATCATATAACATCCATAGTTAGTACAATTTTAAAGTATTTTCCATAAATAGGGGGTTTGAATTTAATGACATGAAATATTTTGTCCGAGATATCGTTTTATTTCTACTCCAGTGCACAAGGGCCGTTTACAGCGTGAAATCCCTGAAATTGTGAAATTGCAACAGACCCTCCTTGTACTTAATTTCGGCAATATTAAATAAAGAGATGGCATGAATTTTTTTATTCATATTAGAAGAACATATATAAAATAAACTTTTCCTCGCGTGCATTTAAATTCTACCGTGTGCAATTACTCCCGTGGGTTCTCAAAGTTTCACTCATTTTAGGCAAAAGACAAAAACGTACTTTGGGGGTTTAGGTGCTCTTCAGACATTCCAGGGGCGAGAATAACATGAAACCAGACAGGTTTTCATTTTAATTTTATCGTTTTTATAAATAACATCGTCTTCCTGCATGCATTTTGGGTTTGATTCATCCTTTACACTGACGTTTTGGGTATAAAGGTCTTGGCTTTAAGTCATTACTAGAACGCGTTCAAAGTACTAAGTACCGTTCGCATTACCATTGTTCTCAGACGGACAATGCTGCCTGGATAAATTCGTCCAGCAACCAATTCACCCAGAAACAAAACCAAGAGACGTATGTAGCAAGTGCCATTTCTAGAAACTCAGTTTAGAGTCGGGAAAGTGACTTGAGAATGCAGGAAAACTGACCAATCAGAATGCCTGATTCCTCAGTATTTCTTAAGTGAATCTTCGATTATGGAGAAACTTTTTCACGCTCGAATTCTACCTATCCATTGCACGAGGATCGCTTCTAAAGTGATACAATCGGGAAGCTGGTTTTGTCCGTTTCACTATGACATTATGCTTTTAGAAATCGACCGAGAAATGGCGGAGAAAAAGGCCGAAAAGTGTTATTTCTAAAACGGCGAGTTTGGAGAGCTAAAGTGGATTGGGACTGCAACAAAGCCGGCCAATCAGAATGCAGGATTTCTTTTGTGAAACTTGGAATTCGAGAAATCGCATTTACCTTCTATTTCCTCAGTTTTCTCGCAATTTGGTCACTACAAAATGGAACCATCAGAAAGCTTTAGTTCCGAACGTAACCATGGTCTTATTTATTTCGAAATCTGTCCACTAATAGCAAAGTTATACCCTGCGTGCAGAGTCTAGTTAAACTACACTCTGCCTAGCAGAGACCATATTGCAGTTTAGTAGCCCCACCCCCACGACGGGTACCGGTGACAGTTTGGGAAATAAATTACTTCTGACCTACGCGCTGACCTTTCTTCCACCAATCAGCGAGCTTGAAGAAACATACGCCAAAATGCGTTCTAATTAAATATGCGCATGTCATTGGTCAATTCCGGGCTAAACGATGACGTCAGAAGGAATGACCATATATAGAACGTCGGTCAAATTTGGCCGACGAACATTGATTGGCGCGGTGAGTTCACAGGTTTATTTTAGTTTGAAAGAGTGAAGACGAAGCTCTCTTTTAAGAAGTGAAGTCAAACGAATGCAAAGGGTAGCAAAGTTATAGACTAATATGCAATTTTTTAAACAGCCAGTTTAGAGCCAGAAAGTGGATTCAGACTGCAACAACGTTATGCAAATTAGCTAGACGTATCTAGGTTAGTAGCACACGTATGTGGGTTAGTAGGTTTTCTCTGTCAAGGCCGCGCATGTATCAATATATAAGCAGATCTCGGCCGTTTCGGCATACTTCATACAGGTATGAATCGTTACGTGTACTTTCACGGAATCCACACAGATTGAAAAATGTTTATACATATTTGATAATTTCCATTTACTAGTATTAAGCTTCAATTCGTAATTATATTACACTACAGCGGAAATATTACATTTTGCGTCTGAAAACCTACTTACTTCAACCTGAGACTAACATAAACAGATAAAAGGAATTTTAAACTTTATCCGAGAGTTGTATCTCCCGTGTTGCGCCACCCGCAATTAGATATGTATAGTCTCAGCTTCAACACAGGAGGAGGAAAGACATGTACATCATACAAACTTCATTAAAATACATACAGTTATAAACTCATAATTATAAAGAAATTCTTGAAAGCTTTATTGCAATTGCAAATCTGCAAAGAAGACTTTATTTCGTGTATTTGGTTCCGTAATACTTGTCAAACTATATGCCTTCATGCACATTAGACTGCCAAGAACGTTTTTATAGCGATCTACCACGGGCAATAGATTTACTACTAAGTTTTGTTTTTTCGTGGATAATGACAAATATTCTACCATTTCCCAAGGAAAAAATCTTTTTAACTGTGATCTTTCACAGATTTCATATCGCAAATAAACAGTATCGCATTATATAATCGACAATGTTTTGATTAAATATACTGGCCATACTAACCGACTAATAATTGATATATCTTGTTGATACTAGGTTCAGTCTATTTTCGTAATTAAAAATCAGTGATTTAAATGCTATAGTTAATTTTGAATATTGCTTATCCAAAATAAATCGGTTGTCTCAGTGCATTTGAGATATCAAACATCAAACTTTCAATAGAAATAAAAATGTATTTTAAAGATCGGTGTTTCAGTGTTAAGCGCAGTATTGATTATATTTAAATATTGCACTACGCTGGAGCCTAGAAAGTATAAAATGACTTTTTAATTTTAAACCAGCGTAAAATTGAATTTCGAATTATAATATTTGCTTGAGTTGTGTTAATAGACCTTCCAGGGCTGTTGTGTTTGGGCGATAATAAAAAATAAATACTCTTAATAAAATTGACGCACGATACGGCAATTGCCGTATTATGCTTTAATAGTGCTGAGTTGCTAGACATGCGCGTTTGGAATTAAAATAAGACGATACGGCAATTGCAGTATCGTCGTTCAATTGCAATATGATACGGCAATTGAGCCCTTAATGTTTGGTAATAGCTAGTAGGAGTGTCTTATAATTTTGAACCAAAAAATTGAATTATATTTTTGGCGGTCTCAGTAAATCAATGGGGTAATCAGGTCCTAGGTGCTTTTTACAGGCCCAGAAATCAATGCTCGCTTATAAATGTAGCAAAATCTTTTTTCGTTCGTGGGATATTTTTTTCACCATATAACCAAACGGGAAGTTTTTGAATAGGACTACATGATCTGAATGGATGCGAGGATTCGATGGGCTGGGATTTGAGAAATTACGATTTGAACTTTGCCAATTTTACATGTATTCCAATGGGTGAAAAAGTAAGTTGCTTTCTACCTAATAGCCAACTTAAAATAGACATGTTGGTGGAAATCATCCAATTATCGCCCAATAACACTAGACAAAACATTTTACACAGAACGAAATGCATCAGAGCCCCGGGTAAAAACAAATTCCCGGGGATTTAATTGGCAACTTCGCGACGATAATTTTTCGCGATTTTAACACCCTCGTGAAAAGCGCGAAACTAAATTGCACGCGAATAATACTGGGCGTACAGTACTATCTCAGGCTCCAGGCTCTGATTGTCTTCAGTTACTTCTTCAAACTGCAAATACAAGTAATAACAAGAACACAAATGTGTACAAAATGTCCCCACCTATGGGTGATCCCATCAAATGATTATCCTAAAAATGAGTAGACGAGACTTTACCGACACAATTTGAGAACGGAATATCAAAAATGGCCACCTTAAAATTTACCCAGAATGCCAAAAATTAGTCAGTTCTAGATTTTCATACTAAGAACCACCCCTGAAAATTTGAAATTGATCCCTCACACAGTTAACCAGAAAACATGTAAACAAGGCTTTACAAACAAGATTTAAGGACACTTTACAGACAAGATTTTAGGACGGAAAATCCAAAATGGCTGCCTTGACATTTACCCAGAATGCCCAAAAACTAATCAGATCTAGATTTTCATACTAAGAATCATCCCTGAAAATTTGAAATTGATCTACGAAACGGTTCACCTGAAAATGCGAAGACAAGACTTTACAGACAAGATTTTAGGACGGAAAATCCAAAATGGCCGGCAATAAAAAAGTGATTATGAGTTTTTGCTGATTTCTTTTTACAAAATTATCACATATAACTACTGTTAACGATAACATAGGCTTTTACAACAAAGTACACCTGAAATTATTTATAAAGCTACAAAATAGTTAAAGTATGAAAACTGAAAAACACCATTCAATATGATACAAAGTATTATCGCACGCTAACTTTTCTTAAAACATTCAAAATGGCTGACATGACTGAGCTAACAGGTCCAAAACCTAATCAGATCTAGAATGAAGTGAGCTGAACAAGATGTTAAAGTTTCAAAAGCAACTGTGAAGCCATTTTTCTTAAAGTTTGCAGACAAGGATTTTAGCATTTGACTTCAAAATGGCCGACAGGAAGTAGCTATCGATTCAAATTTTTTTCATCCACATCTAGATGCACTCATAAGTTAACCCTGAAAATTTGAAGGTGATATCTGTAGCGGTTTTGGAGAAAACTGCCGGACGTACGGACGGACGGACAGACGGACAGACAGACGCGCATAGGCCGACAATATGGCCCCACACTATGTGATGGGGACATAACAATATGGCCCCACACTATGTGATGGGGACATAATAAAACTCTATTTTGCACAACATTGTTTTTCATAATAATTTATTTCATGTAATAGATACAAAAATATATATAAGCTTAAGTTCAGTGACAGGGTTAAGTAACATAACTGTTTTATAATTGTAGAAAGATGAAGGGATGTGATTTGTCTTTTCTTATATTCAGTCTTCAAAATATGGCTGCAAAATTGGTATAAGAAAGATATATCTTGTGATTTAAAAATAATATGAAGTTTTAAAACATTTAGACATGCTAAACATTCTCTTTATTTACCCTAGCCGACTGGTAATAGTACTGTAGATTGGGTTAATTTGGCGCTACTTAATTTGGCGATTTTGCCATTTTTGCCATATTGGCGGCTATTTAATTTGGCGGATATGCAAAAAAAAAATTAAAATTAAATGCAATATTAAACTTACGCGCTGTTTGTGACTTACGATGTAAATGGGCATGTTTGGCTATGTTCATTTTTTATTTTGAGGGCCACTGGCAATATTCACCACGTTTGTACATTTTTGTGAGATCATCCTTTACATTTTGCACCTCGATCGATGCTGCTACTATACCATGCTTTTCCTTTCTAGCTTTTCCCTGAATATTAATGAGTGACTGACCAGTTCTGAGCCAATTTATGAGAGACATTTTTCGTATTTTTGGAAAAAACTAAACCGGAAGTGACCTAAATACACTGGAGGAAATACCCTAGATAATTCCCGGGGATTCATTCTAAATTTTGGCGAAGATTTATATTGGCGAATTTTTCAATTTCGCCAAATTCGCCAAATTAAAGCGGGCGCCAAATTAACCCAATCTACAGTATATTATCTATGACTCTAAACATCTGATTGTGTTTATTGTCTTCCTTTGCTCAGAATATCCAAAATCTCAGCCAAAAAGGCTCTATTTAAAGATCCCAGACTAGAAAGACTAGTTTCACTAACTATATTGTGAGTATTCACACTTGACTTAAATACTGAATCATACATAATCAGGTACTACAACATCCAACCATTCCCACCTTAAATGAAGCATTATTTATTCCTGCATGACTTACCACAAACTTGACCTCTGAGTTTTTCTGGGGAGCATATTGTCCTGGAGATATCTTGACACCCTGAATGTGGCCAAATGTGACACAATCCCCTGAATTCAAGACACACTGCCCATTTACCTGAAATTACCCATTAATACATGTTCATAAATAATTACATCCTAAAACAATATGGAGCTGAAGAATTTTCTGTGAGCATGCGAAATGCCTCATATCCCTATGTTGCTAGTTATATAAGCTTTGTTAGGTACAACAAACAACAACAATGTTACACTGACTTTAAACATTTGATTATGTTAAATAATTGATATCTTACTCAAAACACTGCAATTGTATATAAACCAGTGCATCAATCTCATCAATAAGCTTCATGACACCAATAAACTAAAAATTTCTTCACAAAAATGCCCAAACTTTATAGGTGGTAATATTGAAATTCACAGTTGGATACAGTACTGAAACAGCTATGGAAATTTATCATCATAAATATGCTTAAAAATGCTCTGTATATTTTAACTGCACAAAATGTTTGTTACATGAAGGGTGCAAGACCATGAACCAGAAACAAGTTGAAGGAAATTTGGACTTAAAAGTAACTGAACATGCTTCTTTAAAAAAACATTAGTGTTCATCATATTTGACAAAATTAGCTTAGAAAAAATGGGTATGATATATTATTGATAAAATATGTGAAAGAAATCCAGAGATGACTCAAATAATGGCTAAGACAGATATTCTAATCTCGGAAAATTGTAATTTTGAACATTTTTGGATCATATCATGTGAAAGCATACTTGGAAGGAAATGTGATTTCTTGAAATCTCAAAATCATAGATGCAATATAGAAGTACACAACTGCTTTCTAAATTAAACACTGTATCTACACAAAAAAATCAAAAAGATTCTATCATATTTGTGAAAGTTATCCTAAAATTAGAGGATAATGTTTTTTTTGGTCACCCTGTGTAAAAACAAACATATATTCAAACATTGAGAGATCAAAAAATCTTACCCTGACATCATTCACATATGTTCCATTGAGACTCATGTCTTTTAGAACAAATTGTAAAGCACCATTTTGAGTTTCGAGACATGTGATTTCTGCCTGCCGTCGTGATATGAGTCTCTCATACTGTGTGGAGTCTATGTAGTGACTCTGTGAGGTGTCCCGCCCAAATGTGGTTCGTGCATTGTTATGGTTCTTTAGCCTGAAAAACAAAGGGAGATTTTATTTTACGAAAGGAATGATTTTTGCTTTATGAGCCCTTGTCTTCATTGTGACTTGAGTTAATCTTCCAGGCGTGGATATGTTCCACAAAAATGAAAAATTACTTCAAATAATGAGAATAAAGGGCAATTATAAAAATTTACAAAAATCAAAATGTTACAGGGTGAGCCAAAAAAGGGCACCCAAACAAGTCTTAATAACTCAGTCACCCAGTATGGATTTGAAGTCATATTTGGTACAATTGAACCTTGTTCAATGTTCTTTCATTCTACTAAGTTTCATTAGTCTATTCATTGGTCATGACTTTATAGCTATTTTACAAATCATTTTCAATATTTGGAAGGAACTTTTCATTTTTCAATGTTTTTTCAATTCATATCTATTGTTATTTATGTATATATAATATTTCAATTTCATAAATTGAAACAAGTAACAAGAAACAAGTGAGACAAAGACGGGATGTTATGAAAACGAGGCTCAATTTATCGACCAGAAATTGATGAAATTACAAAAAAAAATTAGGACGAGCAATTCTGTAAGGAAATAGGTTTGTTTTGAGCATTTGACAAATCTCTTGAGAGTAAATAGTTTTTCAAAGGCCAAATATCATGCAGGGTTCTCACTAGGCTTTTAGACTCCGGAGATTCTCCGGAGTCTAATGTCTTAAAACCCTCTTGCTCCAGAGTCTAATAGCCTTTCCGGAGTCTAAATGTTTTTCCGGAGACTAATTTTACATTTTAGTCACATTATTTGCAGTTAAACCTTGAGAAAATACATAAGACTGGATACAAACAAGAAATACATGTAGGAAGTCAAAAACCTTTGAGAAATAAATATTGGGATTCAAATAGCAAGATAATCTGAAGAAGTATGTTGAAAAGTATACTAATGGGATATCTCTGATCTCATATGGGGGAAAAGTAATCGCAATACCGCGAAAAAGGTAGTCACAATACCGCTAAAAATCCAGGGTTTAAAAATTTCCTGGTTGGAACCCTGTCATGATCTCAAATTTCGTGATTTGAAATTTGTGAGCGTTAAGTAAATTCTGGAAGGTAAGAGACAGTCGCATCCATAAGCTAAATCTTATTAGATTTTATAAACTCTAGATGAAAAAGCATTGAAAGCAGCATTGTCAATTTTGTAGTGACAGGTGACAACAACAATTGTATCCAATAACTAAAACTGGAATTAAGGAAGAATATATATACATATGACAAATTCTAAATAATATACAGTAAAATGAAACAAATTGTGTCATACATTTGCTTTGTTATTGTTGTAAATCTGACTCCTTTCCAGTGCATGGCCAATCAGAAATGATGGAATTCTTACCTCAAACAATTCCCTACTTCAGGATGACTTGGAGGTATACCAATACGCCTAAGATGGAACTCAGTCATTATAGAACGATGATTTTGTACTTTTATCCTATGCAAAGGATTTAAACATGTCTAAATCGACTGAAATCTTAACAATTTTTGTGCAAATTTCTGAAAGATTAAACCGGAAATGGATGGGTTGTAACTGAAATATTGATTTTCACATGTAACGGCTCTGTTTTAATTTTGGATATTATCCCCTATAAAAATATATAAGAATAATTAAAATGACAATAGAATTACGAAAGACATATTTGGTCAATAAATAAAATAAATATGTATTTGCACGATATGGCTAATTTACGTATTCTTGTTTCGTTCATTTCAAGTTTAGTTTTTAGTGTATACTGATGGACAACAAACTGGAAGAAGGAAGTAGGGAAATGCCTCAAGATATACCTCTATACAGGGCTCATCGGATTGACCATGATAAATCCCGATACCCACATTGTATAGTATGGTGCCCCATCCCTCTCTTGACGTAAGCTTTTGTATTTTAATTCTATTTGAATGTCAAAATAACCTTTTCAAAATCAAGATTTTTGAGAAATTTTGTTACCAGCCAATGAATTGTAATCCTACAAAAAACACAGGAATTTCCCATCATTTACTTGTCAAATTCTTGTTTCAGATGGATATTTCCATTCATAGGACATATGGGTATAGGTACAACATCAGGTGTTATCAGAGATTTTGCTGGACCATATTATGTATCGGTATGTTGGAACTTTACTCCTCCAGATAGGCCTGGCAGATATCAGACTCCAGAGGCACCATTCACTTAGATTTATGGGAGTATTAAAAAATATGGAGTAAATAGGGGGATAGGGATGATCATGCTTTTAACCTAGGCCTTTCACAATTATTATATGAATTAATAATGGATGGGATGAAGTACTAAACATGCAACTATTATTGTATAGTTTCTGCTTGCTCTTTTATATCAAATCCTTTTGATTGAATGAAACATAATGACTATAAATCAGAACACTGAAATCATAGATTGTTATAAAATGTACTAGAATACTATTCAAAGTTATCTCTTTCGTCTTTTTGTAGGAAGACTGCATGGCCTTTGGAATACCAACAAGGTTAGAACTACATTACTATCCATTCATATTATTTACACTGTGCCACACCTGGATGACTCTAACTCCAGTTAGCTTCATTCAAGATTGTTGCCAAAATTCTTTTGTTTTCGACAAACCTCCGATTTTAGCTAAATTAAGCTGAAAATTTCGCCATGCAAACTTATAAAACTATGATTGTAAAAACACAAATAAATGCCCACATACCCACGATATTAGAGAATTTGAAAGAAAACGGCTTCACTTAGAATGACTCTATAAACTGAAGTTGATGATGACAGCTTCAGTTAGAGTCATTCTAAGTTTTCTATAGAATACTCCCATATAGCGATTGTTCGAGCATTTATCTGTGGTTGTTTACAATCGTAGCTTTATTAATTTGCATGGCGAAACATTTGAAATCCAGATTCAACTAAGTTAAGCTGAAATCAGAGGTTTATCAAGATCGAAAGAAATTTGGCAACCATCTTGAATGAAGATAACTGCAGTTAAAGTCATTTAAAGAGGACTAACTTGCATGAAATAGCAAATTACCCGTCTTACACTTTGACTGATAAAGATTAAATATAAAGTCCCCCAAGACATAAGTATTACCCAGCAATTTTATCAAATACAAAATACAATTGAATAGAAATAACTAAAATACAAAACCCTCAAGTAACATGCCCATTTACAATATACTGTAGTTATAATCTACCCCTGATAAATATGAATTGAAATGTTTATCATAACAGGTACTGGCAACTAAAACTGGAGAAAGTGCGAAATGGAAGTGGAAGGGAATTATGGGATAAGTCTGTGCACGAGGCCTCCGAAGAATATAAAGGCAGAATTGTAAGTTGACATTTTAATAAGAACTGATATGTTTTCAATAATCTCTTGATTGATTAAAGTGACTTATGTCATGATAATATCAGATATATTGGGTGCTACATTGAAAGAATATATTACCCATGAGCTCTATAAGCAAGCAAATAAGCAAGGAAAAAACAGAAGTGTCTAGCACTGGTGCCAAAACTTTCTATTTGTACCACAATCTATGCCTGTGATAATGTTTATTTGTAGCTCAATTTATACTGTGATAACTATCTATTTGTACCCACTGTTTGTGGCACAATCAATGATGTGATAACTTTCTGTTTGTAGCACAATCTATGCTGTGATAATTGTCATTCTCACGTTGCTATGGCATTAAATCTGATGGGATATGACCAGAAGTCAAACTGGAACATGGTGAAACTAGCAGCAATCATGTTCGTCAAAGGAAAATATGTTGGGTAAGATATAACTTCATACAATGATACTTTGGGTAACTGATCCTGGTTAATAACACCAAGTTATTGCTGACTAATCCTGATAAGAGGTCCAGGGGCCCATTAACAGAACCATCTTAAAGTTCAGATTTCGTAAAGTCCATTGTTCTCTAACTGTGACATCATCATAACTATGGTTACAACAATTGATTTACGATTTCGTAACTTTACAAAGTTTCTATTAATGACCCCCAGGGTAAGAGGTTGATAGTTAAAAGAATACCCAGACACTGTAAAATGAGATCGTAAATTGTGATTTACAGATGAGTGATGTAGTGGGGGGAGTAGTGTATTGCTCATTCATTAGCAAAGAGGATTGGCTATTTGTCCTATAGAGATCAAGTGTTTACATCGAGATACTAAAACTAATAGCTTGGGGCCTTTCAAAGTTACAGTCTCCACATTTTTTGTGGATGGTGTTTGATGCTGTTTGGCATTTGGTGTTCGTCATCTGCACCAAATGGCAGGTTGTAACATTTTGCATGTTAATGGCTTGTTATAATTGGAAAAATTAGTTATCCAGTAAACCATGGTATATGCTAGATCCAATAATAGTTGGTGCTTTGGAGATATTTCTCTGTAAAAAATACTGATACAATTGTACATGTAAACTATACATCAAGTTGAAAATTCATGGATCTTTATCAACCTGTAAATGAAATAAAGAAATGATGTGTATTGAAACTGTCTTATTAATGTTTCTAAAATGTAATTTGATTTCTGTTTCAGTGTGGCCGGTTTCCTAAAGACTTGGCTACCGTTTGTTTTACTCCTTGGTGTAATAGTAACAGTAGTGCTTGTAACAAAATTCCACATGATGTAAGGATATGGTGTGATCGTGACAGTCATACTTGTAACAAAATTCCATATTATGTAAGGACATGGTGTCATGGTGACAGTCATACTTGTAACAAAATCCAGTCATATTTGTAACAAAATTCCATATGATGTAAAGACACGGTGTCATCATGACAGTCATACTTGTAACGGAATCCCATGATGTAAGGACATGGTGTCATGGTAACAGTCATACTTGTAACAAAATTACATATGATGTAAGGACATGGTGTCATCGTGACAGTCATACTTGTAACGAAATTCCATATTATATAAGGACATGGTGTCATTGTGACAGTCATAGTTGTAACAAAATCCCGTATTATGTAAGGACATGGTGTCATGGTGACAGTCATACTTGTAACAAAATCACATGATGTAAGGACATGGTGTCATGGTAACAGTCATACTTGTAACAAAATTCCATATGATGTAAGCACATAGTGTCATGGTAACAGGAGTGCTTGTAAGTTTCATGTGAGACAAGGACACGAGACATCAGTATGAAAAATGTACAGCATAATACTTTGTTTCACTTATTTGATGTGACGTGGAGTGGGTGACCCAGAATCAACATTGAAAATGATTTTTTGTATCTTCATTGTGAGACCTACAGTAATTATCATATTATCCCATCTTTGGATATTCTAGATCACATGATGCCATTTTTGCCTGGCTATAGACTTGATGTACTTTGTAGATTATTTATTTTTGATGAGATCATCTGTATTGTAGATGTAAGAATTGTAACATACAATAACAATTTTAATTATAATGGTAGATAGATGTATCTATTTTAATCATGCCAAATATGTTTTTTTAACACCCAATTTGGAAAGGTTCACAGGATCACATTTCTGTGTGATCACATACTGTATTGATAGTTACTATTGAATGATGGTTGTGTTCCATTTTCAGTATCAGAATAAGGAATAGGTATACCTATGTAGACTTGTAAATATTGTATAAACATTGTAAATATTGTTTCTATGAAAGATAGATTTGAATGTGTACATGTTCTTGTTGAAGGAACCAGAAGGAAAAGAGACTTGGTGATGGCAAGATCAAAATGAACATTTCTGTATCTTAAAATCTTCAATAACTTCTATATTTGATCAGATCTCAATTTTTTCAGAAAATTAAATCATGACTTTAAACAGGCAATGCGCCTATTTTTGAAGGAAAAAGGACAAAATATTATTTGAGACATGTCACTCACACAGCTCAAATATGATAAAAACTTTTATTTGGGATAATACTGATGTGAAAAAAAATTACTTGCATAGAAAAACACCATTTGAAGTTCAGAGATTGAAAAAAGTGAATTACCACTTTTCACAAAGTGTATGTTTTAAATAACTCTTGGATTAAAAGATGGCGTATGCTTGAAAATCCTATCAAAAATGAATGGATAGTACCCCACACACAATTTTGTCGCCTACTTTGACGTGTTGTAGAAAAATATCCAATAAGATTTTTCTCATTAAATTTGGCATACATTAAATTGAAACAATTTGTGACACTCAAATTTTTTTGTTTGGGGTAATATGACTTCAGCACAATTTGACTTTGGTTTCTAAATTGCTACGCATTTACAGATTTGACCTAAATTTAGCTAAATTTTGAAACAATTTGAAACAAATTGATTACAATCCTATCATATTAAACACCATTATAATCCACTGCAGGTAAAAGAAAAACTGAACCAAGCAGAAGTGACTGTTATAATGTTAAAATGTTAAGATGTTACCCCTGAAAGTTCACATGTTTAATCCATGTGAATCATTTCCAACAAAAGGTAAGCCGTCGGTGGCCACCTGTGAGGTATTGGGTGAATTTGGCCTCCCGATCGTAGGCCAACGAAAAATTGAGTTGAAGCTCACTGTTAATAATGCCTTAATTGAATTAAACAAAATACAACCATTTTCTTGAGATTTTATGAGATGCGAGCTACTGGAAAGGATTTTTTAATCGAGTGAGACAGTAGGAAATGCTGTAGTGGTAGGATGGGATAGAAATCCAAGCAGGGATACGTTTCAGTGCCCTGATAAACTTTTTTAGACTTAAAGCCAACAAATCATATGATACATGCACCTGTCCATGTATTGAAAGTATTAAAAGGGGTCTTCACTCTTAAACAATAATAAAACCACACTTACAATATTCCTGTTTAGGAGTTAAACATCTCCAACACATAGTAACAATATCTCAAGAGAACAGACAAACCATATATAATGCAATATGTTTGTAATCAAAATGTAGTCAAAATGATTTAAACTCTCTTTAAAACTGCAAAACTGGAAATTTTCGTCGAATTTTGTTAAAACATGAATATTTTAAAATTGCTTGATTTTCGTCAATATTATTTAAATTTTCAAATAAAAAAATTTGAGTGTCACAAAATGTTTCAAGTTTAAGTATGCAAAATTTTATAAGCAAACTCTTTTTGGATATTTTTCTACAATACACCAAAGTAGGCGACAAAATTGTGTGTGGGGTACTAATTAATGCAAACAACAATGCCATCTTTCTATCGCATTGCTAAAAACTTGACATATAAAAATTGATAGATCAAAAATATTTTTTCATGATCTAGTGTCAATTCTGATGTGGTCTGTTTGAGCTGTTTTTGGTGTCAAATGAAAGATCAGGTACTTATTTATCCATTGGAAATACAATGAAGATTTAAAGTGAGACTTCATTTACGCACCTTATCCCTAACATCATGATATTTTTGAAAAAATTGCTCCCAGCTGTTTACACTTTCTATCCCTCCTAATTCCTTAAATGTGTATTTTTGTGTGTAAAATTCTTCTAGCAAAATATACGAGGGTTGATCCAAAAGTTCCGAACCGTTTGCTCTAAAAATCTTAATATTTGATGAATATTGTTCATATTTGGCCACAACCACCCCATATATAGTGGTTTCATTTTGTGTAAGAATAAACAATAAATTTGACTAGCAACATATGTGTCTGGTTACCATAGCAACATGACAACAGGGTAGGTGGAGCTGGAATAAATTAAACTTTATTCCGAATTACAGCTATTTCAGATCATTTCAATTCATGGAGTTTCTCCCCCATAAAATCTCACACAATAGGTAATTATAGTTCATAAGTTCATTCGCCTTCAAAATAGTCACCACCATGTGCTACACATTTCTTACAGCGTTTCAACTAGTCGTGACATACATATGATGAAGTTCACCTTTAGCTGTAGCATAAACGCTATTAGTAAATGCCTGGATAAGGTCAGCTTCGTCATCGAAATAGATACCACGCATTGGTTTCTTGGCCTCAGGAAACATATGAAAGTTACATGGTGCAATATCAGGAGAATATGGCGGATGGGGCTGTAGTTGGGCCTGCAAGCACTAGTGTATTGCCTCTATTGTAACATTGGCTCTGTGGGCTTGGGGATTATCAAGGTGAAAGTAGAAGTTCCAAAGGAGATCTGGTCATTTTTTCTCATAGCATCTTTAAGATCTTTCTTCAGCACTTCGAACACATTTTTTAACTGAGTAAGTGTCATACCTAATTGATTGACTCAAAACAGATCAACATACCTCATAAAAATAATCTAGTTAACAACTTATAAATGAGTGGTAAGGTTTTGTAACTGACATTTGAATAATAAGGTCCATTGGCGGTGGCGATGAACCAGGATAACTGTGTCGTACTCTTGCTCCACCTACCCTGTTGTCATGTTGCTATGGTAACCAGACACCTATGTTGCTGGACAAATTTATTGCTTATTTTTACTCAAAATGAAACTACTATATATGGGATGGTTGTGGCCAAATGTGAACAATATTCATAAAGTATTAAGATTTTTAGAGCAAACGGTTCGGAACTTTTGGATCAACCCTCGTACTTTTTGGAGACTGCAATTTGCTTTTGAAGAACTTGTAGTAGATTTCATTGATGGAAACACACTCTATTGCATTGTAAATAAAAGAACTGTATAAAATCAAAATTATAGTGTGTTTTATAAATCCACAGGGTTTCTTGGAGTTAGATTAGCCCATGGTTCTACAGGGCAGTGCCATTCCTGGAAAAATTAAATTGAAAAAATCAAAATCCATGCTTCCACCAAAAAGAAAATAATGCCCTGTGATATGCAGGCCCCTAATTTTGAAATTTGAAGCCCATTTCATTGGAATTTGGCCCAAACTTTAAAAAACAGTTATGTCAGTTAATTTTACTCATAACTGCCTTATCCCGTGCCAGGACTGCCACTGGTTATTATGGTTATTACAGTTACACCTGAGTTAAACCTGTCTAATCTGAACATCAGTTGGACTGGACAAAGCGTTCAGTTTAGTAGCCTTGCAGGTGTTCATATTTCAAATTTTTCTCAAATATTTAAGTCATGAGAGATAACAAATTTGGGACCAAGAAAATGTTCACAGTGACATTGAGAGGTGTTTGAATATTATACTGTAGGTATCACCATGAGCTCTATCATTAGAAGTTCATGGTTCTGTGGTTTCACTGCTGTTTTTTCCTGCCCTCTTTAAACCACTGAAATATGAATAGCTCGTTGTGTGGATCTCTTATATAACTATTCACCTCGTTGACAACTATGCCATGTTTCAACATACTCTTTGAAAATCATTATTTCAGGAATAACCAATACTGAATGATTTAAACAAGATCCTTTAAATCCCCGGGAATCTTTTTTGCGCAAATAATATTCATTTGTCTGCGCGAACTGTGTTACTTCCGGTTAAGCCATTTTTCGAAAAATATTGCACAACGAAGCACATCGAAAATTATGTATTTCTCAGGATATTGACGATATAAGAGCAACATTCATTAATATATACATTGGGTAACAATCGAAGAACCTAAAAATGGGAGTTCCAAAGTTTTATAGATGGATCAGCGAGAGGTATCCGTGCCTCAGTGAGGTCGTCAAAGAATATCAGGTGAGATTTTTCTCTTTTTACAGCCCATTTCACTGTTTTATTGCGTCAGTAGATCCCCAAAAATAAGAAATCAGGAGACCATTGTCACGTGCAATAATATATGGAAAAGCTTATTATACATAAATGACATTTGTATATTTCAGATTATTTAGTTTTATGTGCAAAAAGCTAGCTCTACCCTTACTTAGTTTGAACAAAGCTATCTCCTGAGAGATAGCTTTGCATATGTTGATATTCCCAGCCCATGTTAAAGGTCTTGAAAGAAATGTTAGAAATCGTGGGAACACTTACACTACTTTAATCGATGTATAACATCATAAAGTATCGTTGTAATAATTGTAGAGCGCTAACTGGAGTCGGGAGACAGTGTAATTGACGAAAAATGTAAGCCATCTTGAAAATTATCATCTCTTCAACATTTTTCGTCAATATACCCATACGCGTAAACATTTAATTTAGTTCAGTTTAGTTACCTCCCGTTTGAAGAGCTCTCATGTATGGTACAACTTCGTCTACATCCGGGTTCTTTCCTATTGGATTACACAGGGGTGCTATTTTCAATGCTGCACTGCGACTCTATTTAACATTTATGTAGAGTTTCATTTGCACAAACGATTGGTATGTATGTAATTAAGATATATAACAAGGCTTTTTTAACAATAATCCCCAAATCCGAAGAAATCTGTAGTTGAAAATGCCGTCTCATTCCAGTGACGTCACTGATTTCCCAGAACTTGCTCAGACGCCATCGAAGATCGAAAAGATATAAATAATGTTACTTTGAATCTCCGATTATCTTTCTGATTATTGAATAGATTGGATCATATAACTATGCTTGAGGGCTGATGGAAGATCAGAAGGTGAGAAACATTCAGAGTAATCGACTCGTTCGGCGGGCCAATGAAAATTTGTCCCTTCCAAAGCGATGCATCATGAGAGATATTTATGTAAATTACCACCTGAACTCTTATCGCGAATAGGAGTATTACACTGTCTCCCGACTCCAGTTAGTGTTCTACAATTAATACAACGATACTTTATGATGTTATACATCGATTGAAGTAGTGTAAGTGTTCCCATGATTTCTAACATTTCTGTAAAAGACCTTTAACATGGGCTGGGAATATCAAAATATGCATAGCCATCTATCTAAAGATGGCTATGTGCAGATATAGTGACTCTACCGCTTGCATTCGTTCGACTTCACTTCTTAAAAGAGAGCTTCATCTTCACTCTTTCAGTTTACAATAAATCTCTGATCTCACTGAGCCAATCAGAGTCCTTCGTCGAAATATGGACGACTTTCTAAATGGTTATTTCCTCTGACATACCCGCATAGTTATGAGCATGCAGGGGCGTCATAAGGATTTGCTGAGGGAGTGGTGACTTTTGGGTCATGCGTAAAGCGGGCTGCACGTGAAGCGCAATCTAGGGGGATCAGTAGGCATGCCCCCAGAAATTTTTTAAATTTAGACCGACTCTGGTTCATTCTGAACATATCTCAGCACAACATTCCCATAATAAAAACAAGAAAAAATGTAATGTGTTTTAGAAATCTTAAATTGACTTTGACTAAAAAGAACTTTTACTTTTACTAAAATATTCATCAAAGCATTTACATGCTGTATGGGTTCCTGAGAAACTATACATGGTATAGAATTAAATATAATATGAAACATGAGATCTTCTATGACTGATGTATACTATTATCTAACATAATGTCTTTTCTGTCATTATTACACTTTGACTTTAATTAGCTCTAGAGCTTTCAATTCTGAAATATACAAAAGTTAGGCCTTGTACATATGTTTCTATTTTTCCATATACTGTTGAAATATGGTCATTTGATTGCTTATTTTTTAAATTCAAAGTACTCAATAGAATTGTAACATGTCCTTACTGTACTGCCAAGTCTTAGATCTACTGCTCCATTTCTTAATTTTATTACCACATTTTCATTTATATAAATGCCACAGTGGACTAGCCTATACCTTATTTCCTGAACACCCTTTTACAGCACAAGCACACTTGCTACTTTGCTACTCTTGTTACTTTGGAATGTAATGAGAAATACTTGTCGTATTTGTGGTGTAATGTCCTAAGGGTGCCCCAGCAACTTGGTATCCAGGGTCTTTACACTAGTACAATAGTACAATATGAATGTATTTTCCATATAATAGTGCTTTTTGGTCTTTTGATTGCTTCTTTTGATTTTCAGAAAGAAAAAATAAGATGGACTTTATTCATCTGTATATGGTTATGTTTACATCAGGTGATGTTTATTTTCAGATACCTGAATTTGATAATTTGTACTTAGATATGAATGGTGTTGTACATACGTGCTCCCACCCTGAAGATGACAACCCTCACTTTAGAATCACAGAGGAGAAGATATTTGCAGACATCTTTCACTATTTGGAGGTTAGTTATGTTGCTTTGTTAATGTGATGCAAAAGTGGAATTGTCACTCTTATTAAAGGAAGTGGATGTCGGTGTTGACAATAGTAAGTTTGGTTTTAAACATAATTTCTGTAAATATATTTTTGAATAGTTATTGCAGTTTTGAATTCAAATGTATAATAATATTTTTTATTCATTCTACTAAATGTCTTACTTTGTGTTGATTTTTTGTTAAAAGGTACTTTTCCGCATGATCAAGCCACGCAAAGTTTTCTTCATGGCTATAGATGGTGTTGCACCAAGAGCTAAGATGAATCAACAGCGAGGGAGACGATTCAGGTAAATAATCTAATTTATAACACTTGATTGCTGATTGTACTATGTGAGTTAATGTTATTGCCCACCTGTTTTTTTGCTTAATCATTTACACTCTAGGCATCTTAAAGGTTCCTTCACTTCAAAATGGATATATTGTTGTTAAAAATCACTCATTCACAATTTTTGAGATACATAGTTCACTTTCTATGTTTTAGATCTGCCCGGGAAGCAGAGAACCTTGTCAGGAAGGCCCTTGAGGCTGGAGAGATTCTACCAGAACAACAGAGATTTGACTCTAACTGTATCACACCTGGTGGGTTGAATGTATTAACACCACAAACCAAAAAGTTGAGCACAAGATGCTGTGTTCACTTCAATATTGAAACAAGTTTGGACTGTACCCACTTGAGATTTCAAAAATACGATTGCACCTTGACTTTAGAGTACATTTGCACCCACTTGAAAATAACAAAATGGATGATAATTGGAAAGAGTTAGGCAAAACTTGAATATGAGTGTTGAGAAAAATTGGAGGGAAGTTTATAATTTGCAATTCCATCATACTAAGTATTATTGTTGTGTAATTACAGGCACAGAATTTATGCAGAGACTACAAGATCAGCTGAAGTACTTTGTCACCAATAAAGTGTCAACTGACAAAATGTGGCAGGGATGTAGGGTTTATCTCAGTGGACATGAGGTTAGTTACAGAACAATCAATTTATTTGTGTTCCTCTTGTAATTGGTCAGTCCTTTCAGAATTTCATAAAACTTTCCTTGGCATCATAGCTGCAAAATCTTCAGAAATGGTCAAAGTGGAGCTGATGACTATTCACGATATATAGGAGATAGTGAACAAGATCTTTCATTTCCAGGTGCCAGGTGAGGGAGAGCACAAAGTGATGGACTTCATTAGATATGAGAAGTCCCAGCCAGGATATGACCCCAACACAAGACATTGCCTCTATGGTCTTGATGCTGATCTGGTATGTTCTTGTAGTTTTTTATAGACTCTCATTATTTCATTTTGTGATAAGCATAGATCGTGATTGGCCTAGACTAAAGAAATATGCAGTAGCAAAAAATCTGATCATACGGACCATTAGGGTTGGTATTATCATTTTTTTAAATATGTGAAAAACGGTATATCAACAGTTCAGGTTACTTTCTGAACATCCTTCATATGCTGTAAATGTCCGTTTGTAAGGAGTATCATATTATGCTGTTAAAAGAGTTTTCATATTTAAACTATCATGTTGTTTATCTATGTTTTATTTAACTTTTACTCAATGTTTATAGATTATGCTTGGGCTGATATCTCACGAGCCACATTTTTCACTGCTCAGAGAAGAAGTTAGATTTGGAGGAAAAAATAACCAAAAAAGGTAGGCAATATTTGTAAAACATATAGTGTATTGATTTGATGAATTATTTGCTAAGTAAGCTAGTTATGAAAGAAGAACAGCTTAATCATTGAATAATAACAATAAATGTTATTCAATGATTTCTTGTAAAAATAGAAAATATTAATTATGAACTTTTTCTCTATTTTGCTGAAATCATCGATTAACTTATAATATCATGTACCAAATAATTCAGTTTTACTGAAACTTAAATCAAATTAAATCTTTGTAATGTTATGTGATGTAATGTTATGCTAGTGTTACATAATTCTATTTCAGAGCTACATCTGCCGAAGAAACTGTGTTCCACTTACTCCACTTGACTTTACTCAGAGAATATTTAGACTTTGAATTTGCTAGTCTCAAAGGCAACCTTCCATTTGACTACAACATAGAGAATATCATAGATGATTGGGTCCTTATGGGCTTTCTTGTGGGGAATGATTTCATCCCACATTTACCTGATATGCACATTAAGAATGATGCATTGCCATTATTGTGGAAGACATATATGGAGGCTTTGCCACAGATGGATGGTTATATCAATGAGAATGGACATCTCAATCTGCCACGATTCAAGAAATACCTGGAAGTTTTATCAAGAGTGAGTGCAGTATCTTTATCTTGTTTCTCTGTATGGTGATTTTATGTGTAGAAACTCAATGAAATTTTTCATCGAGTTTGTACACATAAAATCACCATGCAGAGAAATGCGAATTATCATGGTATGAAAAATGCGAATTCAATAATTCAAATGCGAATTATCATGGTATGAAAGTGTTCTCATATATCTTTGGGTATTTGTTTCAGTATGATATTGAGAACTTCAGTAACCAATACTTTGACCTGAAGTGGTTGGAAGGGAAAGGTGCCAGCTCTGGAGCCAAACTACCAAGATTAGAGAAACTTAAAGCAAACAAACCTGTGAGTACATTGGCAGAATACTATGAAGTTTAGGTTATGAGGTTGACAAAGAAAAGAATTTTTGGGATGCACTTGTACAATTTCATATTAGTTTATAATGAGTAATTTGCACTCCATTGATTAGTATAAAAGGGTGGTACTACTATAAGGATTGGAAGAATAATCAAATCTTAAAGTAAAACTCAAAAGTTATGGTTATTTGGAATTTTTTTAGAGCGTACAAACAGCAAACCAGTTTTCCGCATTAGATGGCAGCACTGAAACTCCTGAAATATCCCAAGAGAATGATGATATCATGGTTTTTGGTAAGTCACATCGTATGCTTCTGAATGGACTGATAAAAAGAAATAATGGTAGTTTTTCAAAAAATGTACAAAGCAGTGGCGTAGCGTCATATACGCATAAAACGCCATAGCGTACTCTCAAAGTTTAGAGAAACGTGAATTTTTGATATTGAAATGACCAATATTCTGAAGTAATGGCCTAACATTTTATTATTCCACATTATTTTTTCGTAGTCGGAATTTCGTATTTTAAAACGCCCCAGAACGCTTCAAATGCAATCTAATTTTTTCAAATTTTCTTGGGGGAAAGAGCCCCCCCCCTCAAAGCTCGTTCGCTTTGCTCACTCGTGGCGTACACTCATAAAATACCCACGCTACGCCACTGCAAAGTATGTTGCATCGATCTGTTTGAGCAGCAATAAAAAAATTAACATTTTTAAAATTCTTTATAAAATGCAATTTAAATGTTTGTAGTGTCGCTTTACTTTCATGATTTAAAAAAGAAAATCTTAAAAATTGAATACAGTATTAAGTATTAATTTGAGATACTCTGTAGTTTACATTTCAACACTTTTTGAAATTCTCTAGTTCATATTTCTCAATATATTTGAGATGCATTTTTGCATGCGATTAAATTTTGCTTTATTACCGAAATTGTAATTTCTCAAAATTAAAACTCACGAAATTAAGCGGGGGTACAACAATATTGAGTAAAACTGACACTGTGCAAAAGAGATGGTTATGTAAGGCTTTCCTGCTATGATTGCAGACTTCTCAGATGATGAGCAAGATGATGTAGAAGAATACACTAGTAGCGAAGACGATGACGAAGAAGATGATGATGATGGCTTCAAAAAAGCCTTTACAAAATTTAAGAGACACTACTATATGGATAAACTTAAAATCAAAAAAGTGACACCGTGAGTCAATATATTCAGCTGAACTAGATGTTTAGTGTGTTATAAGAGGTTGTAATGGAATCTCTGAAAAATATTGCAATATATTCTTTTTTATATCCATAACACTTGCATTTATAAATGAGAATAAATCCTCAATATCGATTTCCATGTTGAAATTAGTTGTACATTTAACCTTTGTTTTTTTATTATGTAAACATTATGAAATGTATAGTATTTCTAATAATTATTTTCATACTTTGCTAATGGGTTAATTGCTCATTTAAAATCTTGCAAATTTGAATTCCAGTGAAGCATTACAAGAACAGGCTGTTGGCTATGTAAGGGGAATACAATGGATCTTACATTACTATTACAATGGTGTTCCTTCTTGGAGCTGGTGAGTTGATTCATGTTCTTTCAAGAGATGGTTGATTCACATTGTATATATAACCTATAACACATTACACCTTGAATCTGGAACACCTTAAACCTGACTTAAATCTTAAATCTTATTTTTAAAGTTACAGAGATTTAAAGGAAAGCAAACAACCATTTTCTTTGTAAAATAAGTACTGGAATCATTTTCAATTAAATCTCAGAAAAATTAAGTATATTATTTATTGTTTTGTCAACTTAAGTACATTACTATCTTTTCATTTGAGGATCGGGGGTTGATGAACCATGCAAGGTTGACCAGTCAGAAAAGATTATAATGAACATCATTAAAAATAATTAAAAAAAAGTACTTGGGTATCACTAGGTCTGCTTAAGTTATTGCAAAACTATTATAATTGAAGTAAATTCATATTTTGTAGGTACTTTGAGCACCATTATGCCCCTTATATGAGTGATGTAGCAAGGTTTCCCTCAGATATGACAATAGAGTTTGAACTCTCCACACCATTTCTACCATTTGAGCAACTCATGGCTGTACTCCCTGCTGCTAGCAAGAATCTCCTGCCAAAACCACATCAGGTATTGTACACTACATAGCTTGGTGTTACACCCAAGTTATTTTATGTTATTCTGTTCCCTGCTGCTAGCAAGAATCTCCTGCCAAAACCACATCAGGTATTGTACACTACATAGCTTGGTGTTACACCCAAGTTATTTTATGTTATTCTGTTCCCTGCTGCAAGCAAGAATCTCCTGCCAAAACCACATCAGGTATTGTACACTACATAGCTTGGTGTTACACCCAAGTTATTTTATGTTATTCTGTTCCCTGCTGCTAGCAAGAATCTCCTGCCAAAACCACATCAGGTATTGTACACTACATAGCTTGGTGTTACACCCAAGTTATTTTATGTTATTCTGTTCCCTGCTGCAAGCAAGAATCTCCTGCCAAAACCACATCAGGTATTGTACACTACATAGCTTGGTGTTACACCCAAGTTATTTTATGTTATTCTGTTCCCTGCTGCTAGCAAGAATCTCCTGCCAAAACCACATCAGGTATTGTACACTACATAGCTTGGTGTTACACCCAAGTTATTTTATGTTATTCTGTTCCCTGCTGCTAGCAAGAATCTCCTGCCAAAACCACATCAGGTATTGTTCACTACATAGCTTGGTGTTACACCCAAGTTATTTTATGTTATTCTGTTCCCTGCTGCTAGCAAGAATCTCCTGCCAAAACCACATCAGGTATTGTACACTACATAGCTTGGTGTTACACCAAAGTTATTTTATGTTATTCTGTTCCATAGCTATGCTCTGTCGTCCCTGCCTTATGAATGTGCCATATATCCATATGACTGCCAGTTGTAGTTGCCATTCATCATCCAATGGGATCTACACAATTATTGTTGCATCAATACACCATGAATCCCATGATGTTCACTAACTACGAGGGCTCAAACAGATCAAAAATTGTACCTTTTTGATTGGTTTTTGATTTTGGTTTTAGGTTCTTATACTTTAGTATGATGCAGCAGATAATGTACATTTGACTCGCTTTATCTTGTACATGTACATGTATTTAAAATATTGAATGACCATGCTCTATATAACATTACATTGTGTTCTAGCATACAATGCAATAGAGAATCAAACAAGTCTGATAAAATCAAAGTGAAAATAGTGTGCCAGGGTTTCCCGTTCCTTCTAGTATGCATTTCGTTTTCTATTGTTTTCTTGTTATATTATAGAGATGTCAAGGAATATTTAAAGACATAACTCAGTATTTATTTCAGTCGTTGATGGTGATGGACAACTCTCCTATAATAGACTTCTACCCTGTTGAATTTGAATCTGATCTCAATGGTAAACAACAAGACTGGGAAGCAGTGGTACTCATCCCATTCATTGATGAGGTAAGTTCAACCAAGAAACCTACACCAACAAAAACATTTTAAAATTCACAATTCAAAATTACTTGTATACAGAATGTTAGAAAGGAGTTATTCATGATGGAATGTGGAATGATTATGTATAATTAATTGTTTTTGTACAGTATAAAAACTATGTGTAGGATCATTTGTTCAAACCTATAAAGCATTTGTTTACACATTTGTATTTTAGAAACGTCTGTTGGAGGCAATGGCTCCTATGAATCTTAAGATGACAGATGAAGAAAAGGCAAGGAACCAACATGGTCCCCACTATATGGTTCAGTATACCCCAGAGATGCAGGAACCGTTCATATCTTCTATGCCTGATGCCTTCCCGGATATTCTGGCAAATCATGCAAAGTAGGTTGATTTTGCATCATGCAAAGTATGTTAATTCCGCAACATGCAAAGTAGGTTGATTTTGCATCATGCAAAGTAGGTTAATTTTGCACCATGCAAAGTAGGTTATTTTGTATTTTACTAAGTAGGTTGTCTATGCATTATGAAAAAATAGATTGATTATGCATTATTAAAGTAGATTAGGCGAAATAATGAAAATAATGATGCACAAAGATATAATTGCATCTACATTTTGATTCTCTATTCCTCCAGGCTGACTCTGTTCGATCAGGATATATTCAGAATACCACGAGACAAAATTAATCATGGACTTTGTCCAGGAGTCAGACTAGATGTCTACTTCCCTGGCTTTCCAACTTTAAAACATATCAGACATACGGTAAGTTTATGTATATTTGAAGCATGTGAAACAATCTTACGGGAATTTTAAATTTCAAGCATGTATGATCAAAAAGTCAGTTTTCAAATGATACATCAATGAAGAGAATTTGTAGTGTATTTTTATTTACATTTTTATTGTAGTGTAAAAACAAGATTTTTAATACTCTTTTGTGTTGAAAAAATATTTAAATTACTTATATACTCTGCACTAACTAATTATCTAAGTACTCTGCCATTTCTTACTTATTAACATCACACTAATAATTTTTGATAAGTGAAACTGTTGTATATAAACCTGAACAATGAGTTTATAATCAGATAATACTATATAACATTCTTCAATCTTTACTTTTCTTTCACATTTAGGCATCCTTAAAGAAAGCAGGTGTGAAAGTGTTCCAGCAACAGAGTAGGGGAGAGAACATGATCCTTCAAATCCAAGATGACTCAGATCTAGTAAGTTTCTATTTTAATTTACCCCATGGGCATAACCTTAAAGAACTGCCACACCAAAATTAGATACAGTCAACTATTTTTAGATATTTTTATAGCATCCTTTGGAGGCTATATTGTTATCTGTTTGCCAGGTGGTTATTTGGGCAGGCAGGCAGACAGGGATTCATCTGAAATTTTCAGAGATGCTCCTACATATGAAAGTTTCAAACTGATTAGTTTTTGGGCATTCTGGGGAAATGTTTAGGTGGCTATTATGCTAGTGTTATGCTGAATAAGCTCCATTCCTCCTGAATAAATAGGAATGGAGCTGTTTATAGAATGTAGCAACAATATGATCCAAGATAGACCTTTGTCTTAATCAAATCATTCATAAACTGTTTTGGAAGAAGATTCATGTAATTTTCTTAGTTTGTTTCAAGAAATAAAGGCATCAAAAATAATCTTTTTCATGGACTTCTGGCTCAATTTTGCCTCTTTTCGACTCCAGTTTTCTCACTGAAGTGCACCACAACTCTTACATGTTATTGTACACCCTAAAAGAAAACAGTGTTTATTTTCTTGTGCACTTTTTATTATGTTACAGGACCTAGAACAGACAGCACATGATATCCTTGGCACTTCTGTATTTGTCAACTGGCCTCATCTGTATGAAGCCAAGGTTGTAGAGATTTCTGATGATCAATATAAGTAAGTAAGGGTTTAAAATATGCCATCAGTCTGTGCAATTAAAAAGCCAAATATATAAATAGGTTAGGAGGTTTTAAAGTTTTAGAAGGTTTTAAATGTTATCTATAAACATATACCTTAGGCCATAAGAAGTAGATTGTTTTGCATCCTGGCAAAATTCAAATCATGCAAGTTACAAGAAACACACTCAAGAAAAAAACACAAACTTGTTTGCTGAGAAATGTATACATTTTATGGGCATAAAAAGGGATGACATGCCAATTTGCAGTGATTACAAACACATATCTATACATTGTACACAATATATTTAAACATAAATAAAGTTATTATTCAAGGGTACAAAATAAAAAAATACACAAATATACAAATATGCCAAAGTAATCAATAAGACTGTCAATTTTGATGCACATCAAATTATCCACCATTTCATCTGATTCTGATTGAACGAAATTCAATGGTACTTTTAGACCCTTGTGATTGCTATTTGGATGTTGTTTTTTCTGATTTACTCAAAATTGTGCAAGCAAGGGGCGCAAAGCAAGGAATCTACTTCTTATGGCCTTACCAATATATGAAGCATTTTACAGGTCTCGGTAAAATAATTTGATTTCTCTGAATAAAGGAATAAAGTATTTAAAAGATATTGTGTAATCCAGAGCTGAACTTACATAGAACCATATTGTTGTATTACAGGTACTCTCTGGTAGAGTTCACCACACTGAAAGGTGGTAAGAAACAGTTTGAAATACGACGTGAAGAGATGAACCAGGGAGACGTGGCACTGTGGCATAGATGGGTGAACAGTATATCTGAGATGTACAGCAATAGGAGAGGGGTGGACATTTCACCTACTTTAGCTCTTATAAAGGCTCTACCTATGCAGGGCAGAAAGTAAGTAAATGAACAGTTGACTTTATCTGCACTCTTTGAATATAAGATTTTTATAAAGCCTATATGCAATTAGAAAAAGTAGTCAAAAATTGACAACACTATATTCTCTGCCAATAAGTACCCTGCATTCATAGTGAATTTCAAATTTCCATTAAAGGCTACGTTTGAATTTTTGTGATTTTAGATGATAACTCATTATAATATAAAAGCCAGGGGCATCTCTTAATTTCTTCATCTTGTTTTATGTAGATATATCTGTGGTCAACATGGCAGTAACATAACACTAGAGAAACAATGGGCAGCCAATCCAGGAGCTTATGTCCTGCAGTCTACTGTCAGAGTGAGTTCATTTAGATTCAATATTTTACTAAACCCTTTTTTGTGAATTGTACTGAATGGACAGCATATACTGAAATCTAACCCACTCTGAGATTTGACAAATCAAATCTTGAAAATTGAGTCACTTTTCTGAAATATCAATTCAAAATTCAGATTTTATTGAGCTTCAATTCTTCATGGCCGTAGCAACTTATGATCATAATTCCTTTCATGTCAACAGAAATTAAAGTGACCCATCATTTTCAACATCTTTAGGATTATAAATATGTATATAAATTGAGCCAAACTAGTAATTGTATTTTCAGGATATAGCTGTTCATGATGAAACATTTACCCAATATCGAACCCTGCCAGAACTATTCCCTGTGAACTCCACTGTGTTTATGTTGGGGTCTCCACACTATGGAGCTGAGGGTAAAGTGGTAGCGATTGACCCTGGCAATGATGGTAGAATTAGTGTGGAATTTTCCATCCTAGTTGAACCTGATCTAGATGAAGTTAGGCGAAAAAAGAATGTAAGTGAAACATAAAATAGATGTCACATACAGTACTAGTGAATGAGATGTTTCTCAAAAATACTTGCACATTTTGAAGTTCTTTTGGGTGCTCATATGAATAACTGTTTAAGTAAAGAATGACAGTTGGTCTGACCATCAAGATTGGCATTCTGTATCTGTAACAATTTTTAAACTTTTCCAGCTTGGTACGGTGTCAACATTTTGATATGTTAATGCCTCATTTTCTTTTGCAGCTAGTATATCCCCAGGAGTATATCTGCAATATTTGCCCATGTATTTAATACACTAATTTGTCAAAGGAATTAATTGTTTCCATGGTTTCCTTTCAGCAACTGTCTGTGCATTACATGCCAGGGTACGTAATAGCACAGAGGACCGGGATCAGCTCTCACTTGCTGAGCAGAATCACAGGGACGATTTATTTATTTCGGGGCAGCACAGATGCCCCTCTGGAGCACAAACTCAATGTGGGGCTCAACCTGAAGTTCAACAAGAAGGGAGAGGAGGTCCCTGGATACACTAAGAAAAATGATGGAACCTGGCTATATTCAACAAAAGCACTCAAGATTATTCAAGAATACATAGAAAAGTATGCAAAATTATAACATTATGAATAATGATACATTGCCATCTATATTTAAGATTGAGTTTATTTTCACTCAATGCAGGAAATATATTATTTATTATTAATATGTACAATATATTGACCTCTATACTGTGTGATCAGATACCTCAACTGATATCATTCTTGAGATCTTAATACACATTTGAATTTTTTCACTTGGTGCAGTAAATAACAATAAACTGAAACACTTGAGCTACAAGTATGCGCCAAAAGATTCATGCCTCCTGAAATCTTATTTTCATATGATATATTTCAGTTCTGTTGAGTTTTAATCAAACATTTAGCATATATGATTACTTCCAATATTGAAATGCAGGGAGTACCTTTCAAGTGGCCATATGTTACATGAATATTATTAAAATAATATTGTAGATTCCCAGAATTATTTGAACACTTCTCGCAGAACCAGACCCATAATGATAATTACTATGAGGAGGATGTGTTTGGATCCAACAGGTAATATTTTCAACATCATCTGCTAATAAATTGTCATTCTTGGCTCCATGTTTTGTAAAAGTTGTATATTTTACATGTACTGTAATGATTATTTGGGGTATTGAAAATTCTTGTCTAAAGGGCACATGTAGGGCAAAAGAGGGTAATTTCATCACATGGGGTAATTTCATTTCCAGAAATACATGTAGGTTAATTTCTCTTGTTAAAAGTCTTGTGAAGTTTCCATCAAAGCAAGATAAAAACAAGGATTCTCCTTGGATTAGAACTAAGAACCATGTGAATAGGAAAGTAAAGTTGAAGTTTAATGGTACCAGAATATGTCTTCATCAAAAAATCAGCCCTCAGGCCATGAGAAATCTTTGACATTTTGAGCTTGTAAATTTAATTTTTCTGTCATCTAAGACTGTTTCTTTAGCTTTAGAATCCTCCAAATTATGGTTGTTCTCTACATAACATTGCATGTGATTATTTCTAGTAAAGCCAGGATAAATGACTTGTCTAACTTCCTGAAACAGCTACCAAGCTTCAACTCAGCCAGAGCTGCACATGGAAGTGACTCACTAGATGATCTTGTCATAAAAGCCATAGAGGAACAGATGGAAAAAGTAGATGTAAGATGGATCTCTATTCAAAAGATTAATGAGTAATTTTCCTGTATCCAAAACTCCAATTTTATGTCACTACAACAAGTGATTACATATTGTTATTGACTCCACACTTTTTGTGGTCAGTGTTTTGCACTCGGTGGTTGGTGTTCAGATGTTTGTGTTTGACATCTGTAACAAATGGCAGGTTGTAACTTTTTTTAGTTAGTCCCCTGTTAAAATTTAGGTACACCAGAATTTAAACTGAAATATTATGTTGTGAACCAGAGACATTTTCTTAGTGGTGATTTATTGTTAAAGTCTGCAACTTCATAAGTAAAGGAAAAAAATTGTTGTTGATTAATATTTTGCATCATTTATAGGAAATGAATAAGAAGAAAAAGAGACGAGTAAAAATGCAAGTTAGACCACATCTCTTATTCAGGGTAAGTACAAGTTTTGTAATTAACCACATCTCTTATAGAGGGTAAGACAAGTTTTGTAATTAACCAATATCACCTCTTATTACTACCTCACATGATCCCCTCTGATTTGAATTAACAATAGAGGTGATCTGCAACAGTTTGTTGCCCTTCTGATTTGAATGGCATTTTCATTTTACAATAGTATTATATTGTAAATTATTGCTTTTTGCTGCAAACCATACTTTAACAAATGAATTATTATTGTAGCCATTAGGCATCCAGGGCACCCTAACTCCAGACTCCTCTGCCACATATGAGGTGTTTGACAGGGTGGTGAACATTAGAGATGGATTCAGTGTCCCCATGGGACTGAGAGGCACAGTGGTTGCAATACAATCAGGTAAGTTATCTATGGGTCCACTCCACAGACAAAAGGGGAAGATCTCTGTAAATGTCACAACACCTGACAAGCGAAGAGTTTTCAAAGTCCCATTTTTAGAAGCCACTGAATGCTAGCTAAACCTGTATAGATGACAAGATCCCCAGACATAAACAGGGAACAAGAATAAATCTCAACAAGACAGACAAAAATTCTTAATTGTTATGGTCTCCGATTTTTGTGACAGTGGTTGGTGACCGGCATCTGTAACAAATTCTTACAACTTCAAATAACTTAACAAATACTTCAGTCTTTTTCAAAATCATCTATATAAGTTTTCTGAAGTTCAAATATGACTTTAGATTTAAGATTTCACCTTCTTCTGGTCTTTTTTCAACTTGCTTCAAATTGACCACTTTTTTCAAAATCATCTACAAGTTCTCAAAAGTTAAAATCTGACTATGGATTTGAGATTTGACCTTCAATGACCTTCTCAAGGTCAAAGAAGGTCAAAAAGGTCTTATTTCAACTTGATTCAAATTGACCATTTTTTTCAAAATCTGACTAGATTTGAGATTTCACCTTCAATGACATTCTCAGGGCCAAAAAGGTATTTTTTAACTTGCTTCAAATTGACCAATCTCCAAGTTCTCAAAAGTTCAAATCTAACCATAGATTCGAGATTTGACCTTTCCAAGGTCAAAAGACAATTGACCTTCAATGACCTTTTCAAGCTTCAAATTGACCAATCTTGTTTTCAAAATCATCTACAAGGTCTCAAAAGTTCAAATCTGACTATAGATTTGAGATTTGACCTTTAGTGACCTTCTCAAGGTCAAAAAGGTTTCATAATATTGTGAGCAACTAGGTGGTGACATTTTGTCATGTTAATGCCTTGTATTAATATAGCTTTCAATGCACGATAATATAGCTTTATAACCACGATATAATAGGATTAATTAAATTCATATTTATTCATTTGGCAGATGAAGCATGACATTTCAAATAATAAGAAGATGTTCAAGTTTCTTGCATCAATATCTTGCCATTTAAGTCATAAATCTCTTTCCTCATGTTCTGATCAATTATCACAGTAATTCAGCTTCTTCTTTGTTCTTTTAATTGATGTGTTCTCAGGTTCTGCAATAATGGCTATATTTTAAAAAATAGAATATAGTTTTCTAATGCTGATTGAAAAATCAATTTTGTATAGCATTCAAATAATGGATCTTTGCGAAGTGAGCTGATATATACATGTAAATATATACCCTGTAAAATATTAGGTTTTGCTTATTACTAATCTAGGCATCTAGCAAATATGTACATTGGGAAAACACAGAAAGCAACCTTATAAATGGGTCTATTAAAGGAGTAAATCCTAACACATTGTTTTTAACTATGTACTTATAAATGATCTGATGATGTGTTGATTAAATTGATTTATCATAATCAAATACATAAAGGGAATATATAATGGAGTTTGAAGGTTTTTCTCAAAAATTAGGTTTGAGTAGAATTGAACAAAATTTGAAGGATACAATTTTCATATATCATCTCTTCAAATATTATATTTAACTTTAAATAAATGTGATATTCGACAGGTAGTTGAAAATCATTAGCCCATTACCATAATTTTGTGAAAAATGTCAACTATTTTTGATGTTGTAATATTCTTTCTTTGAAAATAGAGTTATTCCATAAGTGATTCCAATCTCATAATAAGCATGCTGATACAATAATTATTTTCAAAAATGGTATTTAAAGGTATTTAAATTTTCTAGCATTACCAAAGATAATTTTTATATTATGGATTATTCTGAAAATTTGAGATTCATCTCTGATTTTTTGTGTGAAACAAAAAGAAAAAGAAACACTCTCTTGAATCAGCCCTCATATTTTATAACATCTTTTACAACAGTTTTATCATTTGCTAATTAATTCAATATGATCTAAATGGGCCACTTATGTGGTGTTATTAATAACATATCAATAGTTTGTAGATGAAATTATAATATTAACAAAGAACTGACATTTAGAAGTCTTGTTCTGCTAAAAGCGCATTAAACATATAAATATCAAATTAATAGAGTATTTCATAATACTTGAATAGAGCAAGTAAACCAAGTGTTCACAGCATCACTAACATTGGTGAACATTTCACACATTGCAAAATATTTTCTCCATGCCATACAGGCCCTTAGCCAGGGGGGTTCGCACCCCCCCCCCCCTGGCCAAAAATTCTTTCAAAATCGTGCAGTTTTTCACCATTTTGAGCACTTCTCAAGTGATTTTAGCCTTATTTGGGCCAAAATTGTCAAATGTGAACCCCCCTGGAAATTTTTGAAAACTGAACCCCCTTGGCAAATCCTGGCTACGGGCCTGCCATATCACATAGAAGATAGAGTCAAGTTGTCATTTAAGCAGTTTAAGCAGAAATACTGTGTTTGGATTGGCTGGAAGCAGACACACCTTGCCTAGCTATGTGTGAATTTGTTATATAAGTCTGTGAGTTTTCTGTTCAAAGAGGCACTTATATGTGCTTTGCTGTAAATTCTGCATGTGATTGGTTTTGTTTAGTAGAATGTTGTTGTATTGTAGTAGGAAAATACGAGATGACATCTAATTTTGCCTTGACGTGTGAGCCACACTATCAGGTGAAAATGGCAGGACAGCATTGGAACTCTTATGTCGACAGAGAATCATTCTATATGCCCTGGAGAAGTCTTTGCTTTTCCACCCATAGACTATAGAATTGAGAAATGAGTTACTAATATAAGCCATTGAACAGAAGTTCCTTACTGGATATAGCCACAGAATGTTCCTTTTGAATCTCAGTATTGCTGAGACCATAAAGTAAGGAGTCCAACATAGTAGTAAGACACCAAACACGGTAGCCATCATTTTCAGAATCTTCATATCACTGCCACTCGGCTGTTTCATGTCACTGAAACAATGTGATTTGATCTCAGCTTTTACTGCTTTCTGTTGACGATATGCAATCCAAAATATGCTACAGTATATACTGGCTGTTATCACTACTGTTAAAATTCCTTGTGCGACAATTATGATATAGTATGCTATTATGTGGTAGGTCTGAGGCCCTAACTGACATACCACTCCCGGTGTCCATGTGTTAAAGATGTTAATTGCTACTCCGATAGATGCTGAATATATCCATGTAAATGCAATGATCATTTTAACATGTTTCTCTGTGTACAGGCGTGTGTACTGGAATGGTCGGGTTATTGCTATGAAACGCTCTAAAGCAATTGATGCATATGAAAAGCTGGATGCACTTATTCCCAACAGTAGCAAAAACATCACAACAAGACAAGAATATTTTTCATAAGCTCCTCCATCTAAATTCACAACCTCAGGGTAATAGAACCGGAAGGCTCCGAAAGGCATGATAACCCCAACCACCAAATCTGCACATGATAAACTTAGTATAAACTTGTTGCTGTTTGTTTGCAAGAATTCATATTTTGTGATTGCGAGTATAGTCATGGTGTTTGCTAGCATAGCAAGAACTGCGATTGTCATTCCCAAAACTGCATATGTAGTCTCTAGTCCTCTATTTGAGAGATGAGATTTTGAAAAAGTTTCGTTTGTTCCATTTATGAATGTGTTTTCCATGATGTTTTTATCTGTCATTCCCTACTGTGTATCTATAATCATGAAATATGTCCTTCATGCTGTGGCATTTCTTTTGAGATTGTTGATTCAACCTCCATTGAACCCACATAGATAATTCATTTAGACTTAAGATTTATCTAAATATTTATCCATTTAATATCTATTTCACAATATCATTGTCCGTGTTGTATCATCATTCCATCATGTCTGAAAAGTGGTAAATCTATAAATATCATTGTTGCTTGTTGCTCAAAAGTTGTATGGCATCTTCAATAAATTATAGTAGCTACCTTTCTCTTGCTGTCACCTCATCCTTTATGATGATATCAAGTTGTACTTGTCTTGTATGGAGCTACTTAATGAAATGATCTCTTCAAATTGACATTATTCATATTTGTCATATCGCAGAATGTTTCATCATTTTTACTACTTCATTGTTTTTCTCTCTAAGTATGAATTTGATACCTTTCAAAAATAAGTGTCAGTTTTTTTGTTAAATTGCAATGACATTATTTTTTATTTGTTTACCATCATTTATTTCTGTGCAGTATTTCTTGATTTCCCATCTTTTACCGTGACTGAAGCATGAATGCCAAGTAAGATGCCATAACCAATAAACTGTGATAATCATAGCTCGTTTTCTTTGATATATAACAACCTTCCAATATTTTATAACTTTTATAGCATTGGTGCTGATTTATCATAATGATCTTATATATTAGTTTCTCCATAAATCTCCATTGAATCTAAATTCTGCACTGTTTTTAATGGTAAGATACATAACTGAAATTCCTACTTATATTTCTTTGTTAGTATAATAGATATTATCCTAGGGAGTGTTATTATTGTTATATGGCAGTGGCATTCTACCTACATGGATCATTTATTTAATTTAATGTTACTGGTGTAGAGTTCTTTACATCAATTATTTAAAGAAATTCACTTCCAGTATCTATTTTGATATGTATTTATGTTTATTTCATTTTTGTGTGGTTTGGAGTCACCTGACACATATGACATACACTCTTGAGATTCACGAGCAGGAATGATTTGAGGGGGTTTCTGGGTAAATTCACCTTTGGCTACAAACTTACTCTGAAGAAATTCAGAAATTGACATCGGCTATTTTAAAATCAGAGGATAAATCAGAAACACATAAAAAGACAAGCTTTTTGTCTTGAGATTCTTAAAAAAATTACTTTGTGAAGTAGGTTGTAAATACCTATTTATTTTACAGTGTTGTTTATGAAAAACCTTGTTATCAATTAGGATACCCATTGGGAGAGACAAAGTAACTTTGTATCTCATTAGTACTATCAGTTATGCTATACTATATGCTTTTAAAATATTATTACAGTAATATAGCTTTGTGCTATTATAATTGA